TGAATGGACTCGTCCACTCGACCACCCGCTTTTCCGCCCGTCCGCTTTTCCAACCGCTTTTCCCACGATTTCGCCCCATGCTCTCACATGAGAGTGAGTGTGCTTTTGGTTGGCGGGTGTTTGTGCTGCGCTTTAACCAATTAGGAAATTACTTGTGTAAAGTGTTTGCCACAACAGCAGTAAAACAAATACCAATAGGAACTTTTCCCCTTCCCACTGGGAAAACGACATCAAAATGGCCGAGAAAACTCTGCTCTAAAACCCCTGGGCTTAAAGTTCAGCCAACGATCGTTAGCCATGTTGGCTTCGAAAGTCTCCGTCTCCCTAAAAATCAATGAAAATGCTTCAAACTTTCTGCCACTTGAAAGCCAGAACTAATTAGCACACAAAAAATTAATATATATGTTTAGGGCAACGAATCTGAAAACTATTGAACGCCATATAACCGCAGGGATTTTGAAATCTTAAATGCCAGAGCAATAAAGCTTATTGAAGTAATTTGCTAAAAATCTTTGGCCAAGAGTTTATGAATCGAACATTTTAGACACTTAAGGCATTGGTCAAGAAATATTTTTAAATATTTAGTAATTATTTAGAATACTTTAAACGTCGTACTTTTAAACTAATCATTGCGCTATTAAATCGTTAATGATTACCTTAATTTACCTTTGGTTTCTACTTAATGCTGCAGTTCTGTTTATTTCACTCAACTTTGAAAAAATCTCCCGCTTTTAATTATCCCTTTTTTTATTAATCACTCAATTTTTCTAGATACCCCCTCGTGATTTAAGATCCAATGAAACTTTAGCCCAACACAACACAAACTTAAAGTTCAGTTTTAGAGACGAAGATGGAAAACCCAAATCAAAACCAGCGAAACCAACGACCGTTGGGAATTTGTTGCCATAGCCGAGAAGCAGATTAAGTTTTTTAATTAATTCTTTCTAGCAGGGCGGTGGCTTCTGGTTTTGGGATGTAGAGTGGCGGGGTTTTAGCCGACTTTAAAGTCAATTAGTTTCATAAATCCGCGTTGACACATATTTGATTAAAAAGTTGTGCTCCGCCAACCCGAAAACCTAAGCAAAATGCTGAAAAGAGACGAGGTGTCGGGAAAAAACTGAACAGCACTAAAGAAATGTGTATGTACCACACACAAAATTGGCTTTTAATTACATCTAATCTAAAGTTTTCTTAAATAGAAACAAGATTATGAAATTCAGGGAGCTCACCAATTTTATTTTAATACCTTGCTTTAAAATTGTAATCCCATGAAAGTTAGCTTGATTATCACAGGACTGAAATGTGTATTGGCATTTAGTTTTAATGGCAAAACATATATAATTTTTAGCACTACCGTGTTATCACAACAGTCAGTAGTAAATGAATGCCACTGATGACCGATAAAAAAAGTGATTAATTAATAAGAAAATATTTTCGCTGGCTGAAAAATCATTTCTCTTTGGTTATTATGACATTTAATTATAGAGGACATTACCGAAGCAAATTACACAATCTGTATATTAACTGCGTATTTGTGTTCGAGCCATGGAATTATTCTATTGTTTTAATGAATTCAGTGGTTTCATATTACGACTATCAGCGCGTTGGATTTTAATTTGTAATTACATTTTTGTGGCTTTTTACCGTTGACCATTTCGTAGGCAATTTGATTGAAGCATCCTTTTGACAGTTAAATGGCAATGAGGCCTCGACCCATCCTCCGTTTAAATGCAATAAGGACAATAACGATATCAAGCATACGCCACGTCAGCCCGCTCCTCGATAGACGCCTTTGCAGCATTTTCACCACCCCATTGCTCATCTTTACCATCCATGGAAATAGCTCAATGACAAACATACTCGTACCTAATTTACACACACTGCACTGCACATGCACTATTTCCCTTTAAATGGAAAATTGTTTGAAGGACGAGGCAAATGAGCAGTGCGTGGAAAATGCATGTACATATATCCACATATATGAAAAGAAGGGGCAACTTTACGCATTTTATCGGGTTGATCCGACCAGTCTTAAGTTGCTTTATTTATTTATTGTTATGCAATGGGATTTTTTTTAAATTAAAATCGTTGACGACGGTTGCCTAGTGCAATTGTACACGTAATTATATTTGATGTCAGAAGAAATTTTTTACGTATATAATTATTATTTCAGTTTTATGCATTTATTTTTAATAAGGACTGGTCTGCTATTCTGATTTATCTTTTTTTTACTTTTCCACTGTAATATTTTGTAAATGAACCCTTTAATAATAAAAAAAAGAGAGCAATACGTCTTGATTACGCGCAACCAATTTTGTTCATGCATTTTTTTTCAGGTTTGTACTAGACTTGCCTTATCCGCTTTATTCACTGCGAGCTAATTAATTATGAATATTTAATTTATAGCAGATGTTGCCGATGTGTTTGGTTTCGAATTTAATGATGATGTTATTGGGCCCCGCCTGCCTTTTGGTGTTTTTGCTTGGCTGACTTTTATGATTCGCACTGGGGCCATAAAAACGCAATTAGATTGAACGCCACGTACAGAAAAGCCACATGAGCAGTATCCCTTTTTTTTTTTTGTCTTCTAATTGAAATAAATGGAATAATCATCGACTAAGCTGGAATTGCTTTTCGGCTGAATTGGAATTTGCATTTGTGGTGCACAAACCCATTGTCCATGGCCGAAGGAAAACTCACTTAGGGGGTTGCTTACATGCAACGCAACGGTGCGTATACGTAATCTCCCCGAACCAACAATCCAGTACAATGACAGATTGAATGATTGACTGGCTGGCCACTGGCATTAGCCACCGAGCCACAGATAGAACAATAACACTCCAACCGGCTCCAGATTTGAAAGTATTTCATATTTTTCCTCATTTACTGTGAAATATTGAAATATTGAAAGAAGAAAATATTACATTGGGTCTTAAGGAACTACACTGTAGTTCAGAGTCTCGCTCGCTTGCCAATTTTTGTTTTCAGTGCAGTAATTGCATTGTGTTGCGATAAATGCAGGACGTGGGCTGTCATGAATCGACTGAACACGGATAATTGAAGGATTCCTGACTCAATGCCACACCAATTCCATTACTAAATGATGGGCGATAAGGGGATTAAAGGCAACTTATGCATTCACAAAACACCATTCAGTGGTGGTGGCCAATCGAATTATATTCATACACATCAAAATTAGACAACAAGGCTGTCTTAAGTATAGTTGCCATAAGCTTCGTAGAAATTTAAGAATAGTATTTAATAACACATCTGTTCTGGCATTTTTCTGTTAAATAACATAAATTTAAGTTGTGAAACTTACAAATTCAATTTCAAGCCCCTACGACCTCGATGACTGTATCGCATTTCCGGCGGAAAATCAGGGAAAAGCTTCAGGGGAAGGGGAAAGGGAAGTGGAAACTCAAGACAGAGTCAGTCGCTCCTTTATATGCCACTTAATCCTTAAACAGTTTGCCACAAAGCGAAATTTATCTGGGAAGCCGTAAATCAAATCAGCTTAATATGCTTAACATAAATCGTGGAGTTTAGAGAAGGAAAAGGAAAAAAACACCATTAAATCGCTCTTACCAGTCTATAATTCCTCAACGCAGATATCGTGGCCGAAAAATGAGTAATAATATCGCCGATAAGAAGGGACAAACAGTTCATAATTATTGCTTGATTTAATTAAAAGGACTGCGGAAATAATTTACCGAGGCGACTGGCAATTTGTGACAACAATCACAGAAGTGCCCTCGATATCATCTGCATAATTTATAGTTGGCAATTTCTTTGAATGGCTCTGTGTCTCGCAAATATTGTACGCATACAATGCCATATTGATGCTGACTGTTGTATTTTTATTTCGGTCCACCACTTATTTCACCAACGAATCGCGTTGCTAATGGACTTTCTTGTACAAATATTTATTAAAAACCTATTGTATATTTTAAATAAACCTTTATTTAGTAGCAGATGAGCGTGGCTTAGCTTAACGTTTCAATCCCCAATCCCAATAAAAGTCCTTGGGATTCAGTCAACGGAATTCCTGCATCTTTGGACGCACTCAATTATGGCGCCTTGTCCATTTTTCTCCCCATCGTTTGTCAATCCCCCGTTTGAGCTCGATTTTGCTCTGTTTTTGTGCTACTCGCTTAATAATATGTTAATTGACAGCTTAAGCCAACCGTCAGGCGAAGGGTGCGTGCCATTTCAGAGACGACATGCCAGCACATATGTCTCCTCGATTAGTAGTTAAAGTGTAATGCCATTGGGACAGCAAAACGAGAAAGGAAGCAGCGAAAAGAAGAAGGATAAGGACGAGTAGTATGGATACAAGTGTTATCCTTAGGCGGCTAATTGATGCAGCGCACGTGGCGTATGCGCAATATCCTGTCTGGGGGATTTTCGACATCGATGTTATTTATTTAACTATGCAAATGTGATGAATATCTGCCAAGGTCCGCAGTCTGTTTTCCCAGAAATATCCCCTTCTTTCCTTGTAATGGAATTAAATTAATTTTACATAATTTGTACATGGCCATCCAGATGATGTTCTCTGGAACAGTGGCATTCAATTAGAATGGATGACTGCAAATTCAATATGTCAGTTTAAATTGAAACAATTGAAAAATACATTAAAATTCTAAGGAAATTTTACAAATTAATAAAATGGGACAAAATTGTTGTGAAAACAAATTGTTTGCTTGCAATGCACAAAATCGAATTTGGAAGTGTACGAAAACTCCCAAGTCTTTTATTTGTAAAAGGGAACGCCAAATTTTGACCCACTGTGTAGCACATTTCACTTTCGTTTATTGGGGCGAAACAAAAAGGAAAAGTTATCCAAACGCCCACAAATCGACGGCCTTGACTGTCCATCTATTTTGCGTAAAGGGCGATATGGATGTAGATTTATTCGCATCTCTATGACCACGTATCTGCAACTGGCAGTTCATATCTAAAATATTTATTACACCACTTCAATTTGTCTCTTTCAGGGCGATATAACTCACGGATATGCAAATACCAAGGTGGGCGTGGCCGAGGGCGTGCCGCAACAAGCAAATGCGAAAAGCCAAACAATAGAGACAGAGACATCCAATTAAAAAGGGCCCTACAGAATCGAATAATATACATATACTTATATATATCTCAGCAAGAATGGCTGGCCATCGGTCGCTGGCTCTTTTGTTGGCCATGCTAATTAGCAGCTGGCCAAAAGCCTCTCTGGCCGCCACTGGAAACGGCAGTATCATGAGCGTTAGCAACAGTAGTGGCAACAATTATGCATTCACCTCGGAACTCTCGGAGCACTCGGATCACTCGGACCACAATGCCAACGACTCCATGGAATATGATGCGGAGAGCGTGGCCCTCGAACGGATCGTATCCACAATAGTTCCGGTGTTTTTCGGCATTATCGGATTCGCAGGACTCTTGGGCAATGGCCTGGTTATTCTGGGTAAGTGCCAAGCTCTCAAAATGTGCTTAACCAACAGTTTACATATCTCTACCAAATCAATCTTAAAGTACGCAGTTAATATCTGTATATATTATTGCATACCTCGCCGTGGTGGCTGTTTTGGCATCCTCAACAAAATCCTGCAGATATAAGTTTAGTATGCTTGCAATTCTTCGCAGTGTATGGCCCCATTTTTGCTATAAAAACGCGGATTCGCATCCGACGAAACGCTTTCATTAGCGACCTCTGGCAAATTATGCGTAATAATTGCAAATGAAGCTGCAAAGGACGAAAAGCAATAAGGATGAGGTGCTGGAGAGCCATAAAAACATAAAATCGCTTGCAAGAGCCGCGCGTTCAGGCGGAAGCTAATTGATTTTTTATATCCCATTAAGGGAATGGGCGAATAACGAGAGGTGTGAGGCTGGCATCGTTAAGATTGCAATTTGCTAGTATTGCACAAATTTAATAGGCCAGCAGAAAACAAACTGCCGCATTCGGCACATTGCGTTCCGATTCATAGTTAACTTGAAATGCTTAAGTATTCATTAAAATGGAATGGAAATGTAAAGGCTGCAGTCTCAAAATATTTCCTAACCTTCGAAATAATAATATGAAAATATACTAATAAGAAAACCGTGCAAATGAAATAAATATGCACTAATTTAATCATTTCTCGGCAGCAAGAAGAGAGGCAATGAAAGAATGTCAGTGGGCCAAATGGGTTAAGACATAGAAGGGATTTTACCTCAAACACTTGAGTGCCTGTCTGTGTTTGTGTGTGTGTGTGCAAGTGGACATGTGTGTGTGCTCTATCACCGACACAGCAGACTAAATCTCAACAAGCAAACTTATTTTGCATGCAGCATTTTTCGTCTCTTTTTTACGCTTTGTTGTTTGCTCGTTGCAACCTTGGTGTGAAATTCTCAGAGGCTATCTTACCTGGAATTTTCCTTATGTGTGCGTGTGTGTGTGTTGGCCACACCATCTAGCCACCGGAAAAACAAAGCAAAAAAAAACAGAGAAACAAGCTCAAAACAGCTCGAAGGAGGAATCTAAAAATAAGAAAATCACAAGGCAAAAAAAATAAAACTGAAAAAAGGCGGCTGCCCTAAGTGTAGCGGTGAAACTAAACCCCTGACGTCGAGCACTATGTATACACTTCTTTCAGCAGCCACCACTTGGCTATAAGCTGCCGTTCAAGCCTTTCTCTTAAGCTCGGTTCCGCCATAGAGGTGAAAATGAAAACAAGTTGCCGTAATAAAGACATAGCCAAACTCAATTAGAATAAGAATTCACTTTAGTCGCACAGGATAGGATATGACAGGATACAAGAAGACTTTTCAGGCCCATACTGGAATGTACGAGTATATGGATTTTAATTCAATTTATCGCTGATAAAAGGTTTTAAGCGCCTTTCGAAAACTGGGGCAAAATTTCGTACATTTTGTTGGCCCAAAAGCTTGAGATTTGGTTTGCTTTGGCACAGCTATCTTAGCTTGAATTGAGTCTCAGGCAAAGACAAATGTGTCCGAGAACCCTTGAAAGTTAGCCAAGAAACAAATGAGTGGGTCAAAGTGCAGGCGTGGGTGCGCCACGCCCACTGTTGGCGAGTAAAAAGTGTTTTCCATGTCACTTTTCTCCGGTTTCCTATCGCATTCCCGGCGCTGTCAGGCCGAAAGGAAAAGTTTTATTAAAGTCGCAAGTGGCATCCAATTGCCCACGACAGCCACCCACAATTTCCCAGCATCCTGTTCAATTTTACCCGGCACGCTACTACCACTACTGTGTGTGGAAAAGCCACTTTGTCAGCTGCGTTGGCGGCATTATGATAAATGATTTGTAAATGAACGTGTGGATTTTATGGGAAATTATGAAGGCGAAAATTAGAGCCACTCAACTGGGTGAACTTCCTAGTTTGACTAGGGCAACCCAACGACAACTAGAGTTCTAGGCAAAGTCACTAGTCTCAGGAACAGTCATACACTAAACATTTGATGGGTTCGGTTGTATAAATATGTAGTGTTATCGGAAACGTGTATCTTAAATATTTTCTAGGAGACAACTTTATTCGAGATATATCTCAATACCAGACTCTGTTCAATGGCCACGAAGCTGTTGAAGTGCGAATGTGAAGATTTAGCTGCCTGCGGTGCAAAGTGCAGGCGTTTACTTATGGCTTATGGAAAGATAATTTGTCAAAATGCCATTACACACGACCAGTTTAAAAAAACGCCAACTGACATCATCATCATCATCATCATCATCATTATAACATTATCCGTGTGGGAGATAAGGTGCTGCATTTTATGGCAGATAAGTAAATTTTCACACCCAAACGCACACGACATATTGATAGATGAAGGCCTTCTGCCTTGCATGGGCATTAAGCTGAAATTTATTTAATTTCAGCACAGCTCTCGCCGCAAAACTATGGCATTTCCCTAGATACTTTGGCAAATGTATGCATTGGTTTACACAACTCTGACACGAAACTGTCAACAGCAATTTGTGTAAATCTGCCGAGCGAAGCAAACCGCAACACGAATCCAAAACACACAATCATTTATGCTTAATTATAATTTATGTTTCAAGAATATTCGGTGAGGGCGGCGGCATTGTCACTTCAATTTGCATTGGCCTTTTTCCGGCAGAGAACGGTTCAGTTTGACAGCGTTTTTGGTCAGCCAAAATAAAGTTTTCCGAAATAAATCCAGCCCAGTGGCTGAATGATATGTATGTATATCCCAGTTGAGGGGCCCACAAATTCAGTTATAAAATTGTAATTGCCTAGACGAACAGGAACGTGACTCAGTCCCCTAACGATAATCCTGTCTCACCGATTTCCTTGGCCACAGGAGCGGTATGCAAAGTGAACAGGATTCTGAATGGAGTTCCAAAGTTTTGAAAAGCCTCTTGAAAAAGCAGCTAAAGTTTTGCACACTTTTTGGCAAACGCACAGGCAGTGCATATTCATATTTTTTGGGAAATGCTTGCAGCTAAAACAAACTTGAAATTTAATTTCTATGAATTTATATTTACTTTCAGATCACTACTTCTTAAGAGAAAGGGTATGTGCTAGTTGGAAATAGCTTCCATCGTAGCCTCAATACTTGTGTTTTGTTTTTTCTGTTATCCTGACGGAGCTGGCAAATTTGATTTGGTCCCAAACCCAAAACATGTTTCTCATTCGACACAGTTTCCCCCTTTTTTTTTTTGTTTCGTCTGGCATCCTTTTTTCGACAGATGGAACCGCAAAATCAACTTAAATGAGGGCGTAATACAATTTCTGGGGATATATAACCGAAAGGGTTGCAGATAGGATAGATGATGGCGTGAAGTGGGAGTTGAGAAGACGATATCCACCTGCATCCGGACATCCTGCGAATCTGTGAAGGCCACGCCAAGGATGCCGGCCATAAATTGTTTGCACTTTTGCCATTGTTGTTATGGCTTTTCGCTGGAAAATGCATTTACCGCTCTCCCGATTTCAACCACATAGTTGCATGTAACCATGGCTAGGGGAAATTCTCGATTGGTCGAGTTGCCTGGATTGCCACACCTGATTAGAACTGAAAACCCTGAAAATCAGCTTCAATTAATGGCATCAATATAGATTTTTCAATACCATTAAATGGAAATCATGTTGATTTGGATTGTTCTTGTTATTTACAATATATAAAGTCCTTCGCCTGATATTTTTAGCTTATCCTAGCTAAAATTTTCTTCTGTTGCTTATTTTTCGAAAAATGCTAGCCCATAAAAGCAGCCACACATATCCACACAAACCGATGAGTCCTGCTGCGAAGGATACACCTGATTCTATGCTTCAAACACTTTATTATCGGCAAATGCCGAGTACTTTACTTACTGGCCAAGCCTAAATCTTTCGAGAGGCTTGCATGTTGCCTCCAGGAACCATATGTATACACTTTTTTTGTATAAGAAAATATGTTGCAGGCTGCACGTAGCTGCAATTTGAGGGAGCACATGCGAGTATTTTAGTGTGAAGCCCCGTAAAAACGTACGCACAAAAGTATGCAATGAAAGTGGCATTTAAGAGGCATATGGTCACATGCATGTGTGGGTGCGGTGCTGAGTATGCATGTGCGTTGGGTAAATTTACACAAATCCACAAGGCGTACGCATTTATTATCCAGCGTTGATAGTGATAAAATTTATAACCAGCATTGAGCGCACCGCCTAAAAGCGGCCAGTACAAATACAAACACAAACACGGCCGCACACAGCAAACAGACAGAGAGACAGACAGACAAACAATGCCCAAGTGAGCCGCACACACACGGACACACACACTGACACACACACACACACACACACACACACACACACACACAGAGGCAATTGTGCGTGGGTGGATAGGACACTGTGTCCCACTCACTGGCTCTATCTATCTCGCTTCCACCCACCGTACATTCGTCATATTTATGCTTTTTTATGGGCCATGTACAATTTTATTGTTTTACTTTTCAATGCAATGTCTGCCGGGGCCTGGCACACACACTAACTCACTCGAGTACTCGCCGTATACATACATATATGCCACAGCACTGGTCAAACAAGTAGTACACATTTTTGTCGTAATACTGTTGTGTGTAGAACAGTCTTCTGCAGCACGCTGTTTGTTTGTGTTCCTTTCAAACCAATTGATCACATACTTTCCCTTTCGAGTGCACTATATTCTTGGGCACCACTGTGTCGAAGGACTCGTAAAATGGGTAGATGCCCACTGAATACCGGAATACATGTACTGCTTAGGACCCCAAAACCCGTTTGGCTGGGTGAACAAAGGCAGCAAAACAGGTATAAAATGCCAGAGCTTCGCTGTCTTGGTACTGATGACATGCACAGGGCCAGGACTTTCCGGCTTGCGATAACTTTAGAAATGAAATCATTTTTTTTACAACCATAATAATCCCTTAAAACGCAAGTTAAGTAACAAATTATTGAATGAAAAACCTGTAATAAGTTGGTTTTAT